TGTAACTTTGCTCTGGTATCATGTAGCATCTACTACTAAGGTATCTTACTAGTATAACAGGGTGATCTTATGGGCCTGGTAATGCTAAAGAATCTCTGCTAGCCTGATGTGAAGTAGTGTCTGCCCAAACTTCTTCAGACTGGAGATAATCTGCTTCAGACATCTTTTCCTCAAAGCCCCATGTGTGCAGCTTGCAGCAGGAAAGCAGAGAGATCCGGTCTCAGTGCAGCGGTCCATTCGTCTGCGAGGACCATATGCTACGGCTTTTGCCTGCAGCCATAGGACACTTGTGAAGTCAGTGGTTTTCATCACCATTAGGGCAGTTCATCTGGCTGCTGTAGACAGTGACATCATGTCATGTGCCTGGATGAGATGCTCATCACATGAGGAGGGGAAGGGTTTCTCTAATGCTAAACATAGTAGAGACTGGAGCTTTGTATGCCACATTCCTTTTATAAGGAAAAAAAGTATGTTGGGGCACATCTGGGAGCTGCCAAAGTCACAGAAATACCAATGTTAAGGCAAGGTTCTAGGATGGATCATTAATCTTTTTTTTTCCCCTTTCCTACTTATAATAAAGGTTGTCAGTGAAAGCAGTGGCAAAAATGTTGATCACATTGTCAACTCTGGTAAAATCAGTGTTTTGGAAGGAGGGCAGGCAGATGGGAGCATGGTCTCTGGGACCAGTGTCAGCCTTTTCTGGTGAGGAGGCAGTGGGTGATTTGTTTCCAGGTCAGTGCTATGTGCTGATACAACACTTCAGCTGGCTAAGAGGTAGGCAAGGTGCAGGGGGTGAGCATGGTGTGCGTTGCCAAGCTGGGAGAAATGGCGTTTCCCCAGCATGGGCAAGTTCAGACCACTGTCAGAGCCCCACCTTTGTTCATGCTCCTGTTTCAGTGCACTAAGCTGGGGAGGTACCAAGGAAACTCCTTCATTAGTCACTTCACGGACTGTTTAGACGCAAATAAACAAAAAAATATTCAGCTTCCATGAAGCTGAAAAAGAGAGACATAAACTGATTTTGCCAAGATCAGACTTTTACATGAGAAGATTTCAACCCAAAATAAAACTGTTACCTTGAATTTCTACAGTGATTTCTTCCTCCCAATTGTTTACTTTTTTCTCCTGCTGTAGCTGTAGGGAATGCCCCGTTTCCCTGGTTTGGACTCTGCAGCATCACAGGTTGCTTCCGATTGTTCACAGAAGCAGCAGGGCAATGAGGGCTAGGCTTGTATGTGGGGAAGCAGGACACAGGCTATAGGCAAGGCGGATGAATCTTTTGGTGTTGGGAGAATCTTGCTAATGTAAATGTGAGAGAAATTCCACTCTTCCATGATGTGTGAGCTGAGGATACAGCCTAGGCTTAATCCCTGCTGACCCCAAGAGAGGAAACGGACTCCTAACAGCCAGGGGCAGTCTGTTTCTGTTCTGGAAATCTTGCAGGAGCTTTGCTTTTGTGGCAAGCATGGGCCCTCTTTAGCGTAACACCTTGCAGTCAGTAAGTTTTTTTTCCAGTACCTTTTGCATCAGCAGCTTCAGGTTTCGAAATCCTTCCTGGTCCTGCACAGAGTTTGTCCCTGCCAGGGATCTTCCAGCTGTCATGGGGCTTTTAGATTGGTGTTGGGCACTGATACAAGTATAGCTGGATTAGGATATTTTGGGAGGTGACTCAGCACACAGCTTGGATGAGCTCAGCCCCTCCTGACCTCTGCCTCTTCCCCTGAACATCCTGCCTAACCAAAAGCTTCCTCATCCAGGGCGATGCATTTAGAGTAGCCAGACACTGCCGTCTAAGGGGAATGAATTTGTGTTATATATGGCTGAGTGAAAAAAACATTCAGGACGTTGGCCTCTCGTTTTTTCTCAGTCACAGGAGATGGTATTTCTGGACATCAAGTGGTCTGCGTGGGAAGCAATGCACCTACAGCTCACAGCTAGTTAAATCCTGCAAAGCACAGCAGTACCAGCTCACCCACTGCATATTTAATGTATTTGTCGAGGTATGTGCTAGTGCTTGACAAACTGCACGTGTGATTCAAAGCGGTGAGGTGATTTATTGTCCCACAGAAATTAATTCCTCAAAGTCTTTCTCTTGAAATGACTTGCACATCAGAAACTGTATGTGGGTTAGGAACAGCACTGGATTCCCAGAACGGTGCAGCCCTGAGGTCACAGTTTTGTCATTGCAGAAGACCTGCGAAAGAAACGTTTTGGTCTGGCATCAGCTCAACACTAAAATATACCAGCTTGGGGAGTCAAGGTAACCTCTTGGCATCTGTCAGCCTGTTCCCTGCTGTGTCCTGACTAGGCTGTTCTGTCAGCTTCTGGTTCATTTTCATGCCATAGGAAGAAAATCCTGGTTTGGGTACTGTCCTGTACTGTCAGTCATTTTGTTAATGCACATGGATTCCTTTGTTTCATTTGGCTACCTGAAGTGGTGCTTCAAACTGGCCTACCCTGGATGGCTGGTTTGCTCAAGGCCAAGCTTGGCTTTGTCCAAAGCTGGGATAAAGAACTGAGAGACAAACGAGCAAGGTTCTTCTGCTAGGAGCTGTTTCTGACTTGGTGATGGAGACATGACAGATGCCAAAGAGCCTGAGGGCGTTTGGCCTGGTAAAACAACAGACCTAAAACTCAGGGCATCACGCAAGGATACACGCAGTCTGTGTCCCATCCTGGTCCAGGGCAGAGAGGGGCCAAGAAATATTTTCTGCATTTTCACAGCAGGATTTCTCGCTTTCTGTTCATGCCATCTGGATCACTCCTATTCAGATCACCTGGATTTCTGCTACATCAGAAGTGAGGGCTGGGTACCTCTCACTGACACAAAGCCAACCCAGGTCTGTGTAAACAGGTTTGCTTTTTTTTTTTTCTTTTCTTTCTCCTTGCTCATTTTGAAAGCCACCACAGACAGTCCAAGGGTTTGGAAGACAGGGAGAGATGTCATTACCTGCTAGAGATGGAGTAAGCAGGTGGAGACTTGGTTTCTCTTTACTTTTCCACTGTAAACACTATTTACTTCTTGCTGCTGCAAGATTGGGTAAGAAGTTAAAACGAATGGATTTACAAACTACCTCATTAATACAGAGATGCGATTAAGAGTAAAACATGGTCTGTGTGGCCTGATCCGTGGATCTGGTTTGTGATTGGAGTAATACAGTTGTTCAGCTGTGTTTGGAAAGCGGTGCAATAATGTGTTACGTTTCTAGGTCCCTGCCCGTGCTACTGACTTAGGGGAGGAGGGCTTGAACCCAAGGCTTGAGGCTGTGGGGATGTTGTTGCTTCTGCAAGGCTGGCTCTACTTTTTTTGCCCTTGTCCTGGACTTGGGCATCAAAGTTTTCCTTAATCTGAAGAGCTTCTTTTGCATGGATCACCAGTGGGTTTCAAATGCCACATCCCTCTTGCAGCCGATAAACAGCACAGAGCAGCTTCTGCAATTGACTCTTCTCATTGCAGTTAATTCTTAGGGGTTCCTTACATAAAAGGGTAGATGGAAACTTATTTCCAGTTGCAAAATTTTGTTCTCTTGACTAGGCGTAGAATATATTTATTCCTTTCTTCTTGAGTCTTCAGTTTTTCTTTGCTCTTTTTCCTTTGCAGTTCAGCAGTGAGACCTGCAATGCTCATGCAAGGTGTGTGCAAGGATCCTAGTGGCTTGGCTTCTGGGTGGAGCTGGGTGGTGACACACTCTGCTCCCATGTGGAATTGGGGCTGGATTAACACTGTGCCAGTGGTGCTCAAACAACAAGAGTTTGGGGTTTAGTGGAGACCACAGCCCTGTTAGAACCACCATGTCCAGCACAGCTGCTACGGGATCATCAGGATTGCTTTGCAGCTCCCTTGCATAGAGCAGGGCTTCATCCAGCCACAAAACTCGCCCAGCACTGCCTCAACACATAGCAAGAGGGAGAGAAGCATCTCCTAGGTGGTTTTGGAAGCCTTTTTACCTGTAGGCATTGGGTAGATTTCCATGTATCTCAGAGAAATATGTCCAGGTTCTTACTGTTTGTGTTGGACAAGTGTTTCGGCTCTTGCCCAGCTTTCAGTGCTGCTTTTCCCCATAGCAGTTTCCCAATGTCTTACCTAGCTGCAAGGCTAAGAAGGCTTTGCACTTCTGAATGGATAATCAATAGATCACTGTGTGTGTCAGACTTTTTCCCCCTCTTTGCTTCTTTAGTGACCTGTTGCTCTACTGAAACCTCAGCCATTTAGGAGGCAGATTAAGCCATGAGTTGTTACCCGGACTCTGTATTTTTACCCTTTTATAAGCAAAATCAAACTCTGAAATTGTGAAACTAGGAGAACAACTTGGGTTGTGATTTCTTTAATAATCCAGTCACCTTCTCCACTCCCTGGGATGGGGTTTGGTAACCTCTTACAAATGGGGTAAGGCTGTTTTGAGCAGCATCTTGCAAGACTCTTGTGTACCAGGGAATATTTGCTGATTCCTACCTCCCAAGAGGAGAGGAGGAGACTTAGGCTGGGACCCCAGGGTACCACTAAAGCAGTCCACCAGCTTGGGGAAGCAGCTTTTCTCTCTGGAGGGCTCACTTCTGAGGCCCTGCTGACCCTCCCTGGGCTGCTTCCCCAGCACATCAGTGTGCCATGTGGCCCTCCACATCGCCTGGGGCTTTTTCCCAGCAGCTAAGTGCAACCTTAGAAACATATTGCAATGTAGTGATTTTATTTTAATGAGTGGCCTTAGGTGTTAAGGCATCACGTCATCCACTTCTGCCCACTGCTCTTGTTTCACTGGACGTTTGGCTTCGAGATCTATGTCCAACGGAGATATAAGACAGCAAGAGTGTGGTCAGAAACAGAAGGTTGGGAGCAGCCACAGCTAAGTATTGGCTGGCTGTAGAAAAAAAACCTCTGAATCTGTCCTGGGCAGCTGCTTTCTTGTGGTTTGAGTGCTTGGTGTTAGAAGAGGTGATGAAGAGAAGTGGAGATGAGGGAAGACCTTTCTCTATACTGTTTAGAGGCTGCAGTTCCTTGATAGTATATGAAGCTGGAGTGGTATCTGCTTTGCAGGAATTGTCGCCCAACATGCTGAAATCTGCATCCAGGATCTATGGGGCATCTTCAGGATCGATTCTAGCTACATTTTTATTGTGTGAATGTGATCTAGGTAAGGGCTATGCACTTCCATTTATTCTGTGTCTAAAGAGATCGAATGTCTGGAAATTCTGGAGTTGCAAAAGATTCTTTTTTTTTTTTTAATTATCCTTATCAGTGGTTAATTTTACTTCATTGACTTCTTTAAGAGTGGAAACCATGGGTAAATTAAACAGCACAGATAAATTAGACTAGATATAGTTATTAAATAAGTCATTGCATCTTATTAATTTGAATTAATGGTAAGCGTATCTAATACAAGAAACAGAAATGCTTTCCCTAATAAGGCATTTGGGGTTGTTGGTAGATTCCTAAAACACAGAGGGAAAAGAAAATATTGAATATGGAGAGGATCAGTGTTGCTGTTGCATGAAATAAAAAGAAAGTTATAGTCATAGAGCTGAGGAATGCATTAGGGGGCATAGATGCAGAGCCAACAGGAGGAAATGTTATGCAAAGGCTTCTGTCAATTTTCTCCTGGATCTCCAAAAATTTTTAAGATGTCTTGTGGAGGAAATGGAGAGAAACTGGAAAAGAAAACAAAATACTTCTGCTTCCTGCAATAGTGAAGGTCCTTGAAAAATCTGGGTCCACTCATGAGAGCTTCAGCCCTAATGAAAATAATGGCTCTTTATAAGCATTTACCAGCATGGTAAAATGCCTCTTTACCAGGTGGAAATGCAGCCCAGAAAGTGCACAAATAATAATATAAGGTATGTGTAATGATTGCTTTGCTTTGCTTTGCTTTAGATGAGATTAAGCTGGCCTTCTTCAATATTGTGAAAACCACTTCCTGGTGGTTTCTTTCTGGAAGAAAACTCAATAGGATCTTAAAGGATGTCTTAAACAAATATCTGCCTACAAATGCCCACCAGCTGGTATCTGGAAAGCTGCATGTTATCCTCACCCGTCTGCACGACTTGAGAAGCGTGGTGGTTTCAGAGTTTGCCTCGAGGGAGGACCTCATTCAGGTGAGAGCAGCCACAGCCACCGTATGAGGGGGGACCTGCATGAGACTTACTGCCTGTCCGTGCCCCACAGCATCTGTGGGGGAGGCCTGGGGCCTCGTGGTAGTCCGTGCCATGATTTCTGTCCTTGCCGCCCTCTGAAGCCAGAGCAGGTCACAAGCTGCAAAGAATAAAAAAAAAAAAAAAAAAAAATCAGCCCTTTAGATTGCTGGCTGAATTATCTACAGGGCCTGAGTATGCAGGGAGCAAAATGAGGCATTTCGCAGGTTACCTTCCTACTTCTCCAACCCTGGCTGGGGATGCTGGACATGGTCTGATCCACAGTAGTCACTGGTGTACCCAATAACTCAGCTGTGGGTCCCCGTTCTGGCATTCACACATGAGCCACCATTCCAAAGGCAACGGGTTTTTGTGGCTCTTTGCTCACCTCCATGCTTTCCATCTCCCCCACAGGCTGTGGTGTGCAGCTGCTTCATCCCTCTGTATTTTGGAATTTTACCTCCTATGTACCATGGGGTGGTGAGTAGTGTTGTGGTCTGGAGACCCTAAACCGGGTCACACCAAGGGCCCATCTAGCCTATGTTCCTTCTCCAGTGGTGGCATCAAGCATGTTTATACCCGTGTTTGCCACCCAAGTTGCTTGGTGCTGTGTTTGCACAGTGTCTGCAGAGGGAAGAACTGAACCCTGGTGCCCCACAGTCTGACCTCACTGCAGACGGAACTGATCTTCTCACAAAAGTGTCCATCCCCCCTGTCCGTGGGGTTAGCTCAACTCCTTTCTGCTACACTTTCTCCCAGTTTCATTAAAGAGTGATTTTTCAGCTGGAAGGGAGGAGGTGGTGGGTGTAGACTTGGAGCACATGTGGACAGGGCTGTTCCCTGGAAGGGGATCTCTGTAGCACCAGTACCTCAGTCTAGTTTGGGCCTGGGTGGGGAAGAAGCCCCAAATGCACACACATGTGACACAGCACTCTTCTGTCTGAAAAGAGGAAGGCTCAGGGTTCCTTGTTTTCTCTCCTAGCGTTACGTTGATGGGGAACTCAGCATGTGGCGGGCCAACTTCGTGTCCGAGACCACGATCACCGTGTCTGCTTTCGCTGGCGAATACGACATCTGTCCCAAAGATTGCGGAGCTGCCTTCTTTACTTTCCAACTCTCTGACTGTATTTTACAGATATCAAAACTAAATATCTGCCGCTTGCTGTATATTTTCCAGATTCCCACAGTTCAAGTGAGCTGCTTCTACAGGTACCCAGAGCCCTGAGGCCTCAATAGCTGTACCATCTGCCCTGACTGCCGCTTCCCCCCTGCAGGTTATGGACCAGTTTTATACCTATGGCTACCAGGACACAGTCTCCTTCTTAAAAAGACTGAGTAAGTGATTGGGAGTGAGGAGCAGGTAAGTCGGGTGCTTCTCTTACAACACTGGTTTGCTGACAGAAGGTAAGAGATGCTGCCAGTGCATATGGAGTCACCAGTGCAGAGAGATCCCTGCATCCCTGGCATTGCCAGGATTACTTAAGTCCCATATTCTCTGTGGCCTCTCCTAAAGCTCCCTGTTCACCCCTTCCCTTCTGATGATGTTAGGTCCCCTCCTCTCTGCCACACTGGGCACGGTAGAGCTTTCCAGGGAACTCAGGTCCCCAGGACCTAGACAGGAGAAGTGTAGGCTTGGGTGCCCTGTGTAGTGTTAGACTGATAACCCACTGATGCACAAAGCGGCAATGTTTGGTGATCCCTGACCCAGAAACCTAACTCACATTAGCTATGTACTGTAGTCATCAGAATCACTATTTTCCAGTCAACCCTGGTCATGCCTCGCATTGCTGGAAGCCTGATAGTTGAGCAACAAGCAGTGAGAGCTGGATTCTCTTCCCACCAGGTGAATTTGGTATAAATTACCTTGATGAGGACTTTATGCTTTCATCGTCTAATGAATCACGTCAGAAAGGTGAAGGGACCCTGCACTGGAAGCCAGAAACAAGACTACTTCGCCGCAGAGCCACAAACCCTGAGGATGTCACCAAAGAGAATCCAGGGACCAGCCGGGCAGCAGATGAAGTGGAAGAGGAAGCCCCACACCACATTCTCCACCATCAGAAAGGTAGAGTACCAGCACTTCCATTACCCCATCAGTTTTCATTAGATAAGTGACACTGGCCCAGGGCTCTCGCTGCCAAAAGAGGCTGTCGGGGTTTTTGCAGGCTCCAGTAGGTAAGAGCATCAGGAATGGGAGAGAGTCCCCTCTTGGGTTAGTGGCTATTAGTGAAGCCTCATGCTGAACTTGTTCTGGGTGAAGTTTGAGGATTTAGGCTGTGGCCAGGCCAGAAAAGGCTGTTTGGAGAAGTAGCTCTTTCTCTGAAGAAAGCCATTTACTCACCTGGCAAGGTAATAACAGGTTCTGCCCATGCGTCATTTTGTTAAGGTGAAGGAAGGAGCAGTGTCTCAGTGGTTAGAGCTGGATTTGCTGCCCCAGTCAAATCAGAATTTTTACTTAGTTACTCTGGTGTGCAGCTATGTGGAAAAACTTAAGTGCAAGAAAGGCTTATTACACCTGCAGGGATCTCCATGCAGGTACCTCTACATGTGTCATTTTTAAGCAGCATAAGGCAGGTTTAAATCCAATACTTCTAGCTTTCTGCAATCCTATGCAAAATAATGCCCTCTCCCATTTCAGTTTTGACATGGAAAATGGGTGAACCCTCAGCATTTCAGATTCCATTTTGTCTTACTGTTACTAGCAGAATACAAAGAAGTATGTGCTGGAGTGCAACATTTCTTTCCATTTTATTATTTATTTTCTTTTTCTTTCTGAGTCTTCCAACATTTCAGAATTTGCCACCTTAGAAAAACTTACACTGTTTTTCCAACATGATGATGGTGTAAAATGTTGCCACATAAATCAAAGAAATGAAAAAAGACCCAAATATTGTTCAGCTATATCTACGAGGACCACACTGTATGAGGAATATAAAGGGGAAAGAACAGGACCATTACTATTCCAGATCTAAAAATAAAAGCTTGGAAAACATAAAATAAAATCAAAGACATTTCCATTGAAAGCAAAACAACTGTACCTATGGGAAGAGACCCACTATAGAAATGCAGGACACACTGTTAAGCTGTACAGTTCATTTCCATGCTTGCTTTTTTAAAGGTTTCACCAAGTCTGAACTACCTGGAACTCTTGAAAGGAACATAGTAAGAATCTTTGGAGATTGGGCAAGCTCTGGGCTATCAGGAGTCTCTTGGTCTCTGGTTTGCAGCTGGGCTGCAAGATTTTTCACCAACCTAAGGTCACCTGTGGAAGGAATCAAGACTCATTTGTTAGGCCAGAGAGCAACCAAGAGGGAAGTCAGAGCTCTCAGTCTCCAGTGGAGAAGCACATCAGATTTTTCAGATCTGGGAAGGAAAAGTCCTGATGATCTAGGCCAGGAAAAGGCTATTTTACTGTTTACCTGCACAATACTATAGTATCATCAATGTTACCAAAAAAACAAGGGTATAACCTGCACACAACTTGCACCCGTTTCCCTAAATATGTCAGAACATCTCCATAGGACTACTGCTGTGGTCGGGCCTCGCACCAGCAAGGCGCAGGCTGGGTTAGCAAGTTAACTACAAGCATTTGCGTTTTTTATCCATGTGCCCACCAGGACAGTTGCACAACAAGTTGCACCCTCCTTAGTACCTAGACTAGAAGCAGAGTCTGACCTAAAGCACCAGCAGCCGGAGACACAGACGGGATTGGACACATGTTTATTTTCATTTGGCTTGGTTGCACGGATCAGGCCCCAGGATTCCCCTTCCCACTAGATCTGCAGTGGGATCTAGCTTTAGAGAGGGCTCTTGCTGACTTGGGTTGTCTCCAACCTCTCATCCCATCCACCTCAGGCTTCACGTCTCTGCTGAGTTCGATGCAGACCAGGGCAAGCGACAGGACAGCAGTATGAGCCAATATTTTAAGGATATCAAAACCTGCTTATCCTATTACCCTCTAGACAACGGCGGGGGGGGAAGCAGCCTTGATCAGGTATTTCAATGCAGTTTGTCTCCTAAGAGCTGCCAGAAGCATCTGTCAGATTGACCAATGTGGTTTTACTCCCTTTAGGGCCTTGCCAGCCACAGAAGAGCATTTTTGACCCCGCTGCTGCCTTTGGCCCCAGTTCACGTTTTAAAGAGAAAAAGAGCAACTTGCAACCCAGCCTGCAGACAGACACTGAGATGCACTGAAGAGCACACTGTAGCAGCAACATCACCAGCACAGGCAGGGCCACAAGCCCCTTTCTCTCCCCTTCACAGACCCCAGGTGATTCCTGTGACCCACCTTTAAAGGAGGCATTTTAGGCTGAAGACAGGATCTATTGCAGCTGGGTTGAACTGGGTGCAGCTGGGTTTCCCACTTGCTTCCCTAGGGGTGAAACAAGCTCCTGCACGAGGTGATTCAAAGAGATTCCAAATGTTGCCTCTACCCATTGCCTGTGGCAAAGCCTCCTTTTGCCATCAGCTCCAAGCTCATGCGGAGGACACAGCATCAGGTGTGCTTGCTTCGAATGATGGGGGATTAATAAAAAAAGACAGCTGATTTGAATTATGAGTCATTAAATACTTATATCTTAGCACATCTCTGCAGGTTTGGAGCAGGAGGGCTCTGTGCTGTGATCATTTTGTTTTGGGTGGTCCTTGGAGGCTGTTTTTTGTTAAAGTTCTCAAAGTTTTACTAACTTTTTATGATCGAGCACCATGCCACATAGGGGCAGGTGGGATGCGCTGGGTAGTTCAAACTATGCTCCTGTTTGTGGCTCAAATTTGCAGACAAATTTAGTGGATTTGGATGTCCAATTCCTACATGAGAATTTTCTTTTGGGGATTTTCATGCCAATTTGAATAGGGATAGTGTAACTGCCTGAGGCTAACTGAAATGGTTATATCCTGCTTGGAGGTGGTGTGGTGGTTACTAGGAAAACCAGGAGCCTGGCAGAAGGGCTGTTGTGGAAGTGGGGCTGTCTGCCTGGGAGGGAAAGCAGAAGTACAGTATGAGCAAGAGCAAATGACGGGCTGACTGGCCCTGCTCCTCCCCGGGGAGCAGTGGCTGTCTCCATGCCCTTTCCACTTGGATCTGTGGCAGGAACATAGTTCCTGGTTCACAAGCTGGTTGTGAGCAGCCCAGCTTTGGCTGCAGGGGTTGAGAGCTGTAAATCCATCCAGGATGGAAGGAAGACAGGAGTAGGTTTTGATGGATCTGATGCAAATAAGCATCCAGGTTTCTTTTAGGAAGCTTATTGCAGAGAAAATATTCCCAGGTCATTGATTTCAACCAGAGATAGCAGAACATATTACATTAATCTTTCACTGAGCATTCATAGTTAACTTTGAATCTGTTTACATCAGTGCAGCCTTGAGCTACTCCCCAGGTTCATGCCTGCAGTCTCCAGGGCGCTTTGGATGAAACTTCCCATTACCCTTTCTGCAATTAAACAAGCTGTTTATTCAAATAAACAGCTTGTGCCCATTGAGAATCAACAAACGGGAGAGGCTCAGTTGGGGTAAAGCCAATCCATCAGCATCTGAGACATGCAAAATATATTTGGGATAAGAGTGCTGCCAATTCATTCTACGGACCAGGAACACAAGGTGTGTTTGCCTGGACCATACACTGTTCGTAGCAGCAAATTACAGAAAACCTCACGGAAAGAACTAATGTATTTGTGAAATGCCAGCTCTCCCAGCGCAACAGGAGATGCAGTCTGCATGACTGTGTACTTTGAATTAGGGGAAGGTTAACCTTTAGATTTCTCCATTCCTCTCCACAGCTGCAAACTCAGAGGGGTCCAAATGTGCGCCCTCCTCCACTGCCAGGAGAAGCAGGCCTCCAAAGGTGTATGAAGCTCAAGAATAAGTAATTGGTAAAATAACTTTAGGAAACTGGATAAAATGGGTTCCTGCCCAGTGTGATGCTCCCTAAAGGCTCCTCCCTCTCTCGGTTTTCTGTTTGATGAATCTCTCTGAGAGTTTACTCTGAGAGTCTGAGTGGAAGGAAAACACTTAAAATGTGACATTTCCTGGCAAATGCCTGCCCTGGAATCTGCAGTAAAGCAGGGGGAGGGATGCTGCTGGCCATCAGCAAGTGGAGCAGCTGGGGAAACTGGCGGCCGGGCTGTACAGGCGTGCAAGTGAAGGTGCCCAGTCTCCCCTGCGCAACTGCCCTTCAGTCGCAGATGCAGCACCGCAGCGCTTTTCCGCAGCCGTCACGTTAAAGCGGGTGAGGCCTGGGCAGGGAGGCTGCAGAAGCAGCACTGGAAACAAAATCAGCCAGTTTCCCCAAGTGAGACAAACACCCAAAAAAAAAATCCATAAGAAACCAGCAGCCGTGCAGCTGTGT